GCAACCCCCATTTTTTCATGTTCTCTGTATATATCTTCTTACTGTATTTTCCACTGCATGCATCTGATGAAGTGGGTTTTAGCCCATGAAAGCTTATGCCCAAATACATTTGTTAGTCTCTAAGGTGCCACAAATACTCCTTGTTCTTTTTGCTGATACAGAGTAACGCAGCTATCACTCTGAAACATATTAACTTTTATCAGGGGGTAGCCGTGTTAGTCTGAATCTGTAAAAAGCAACAGAGGGTCCTGTGGCACCTTTAAGACTGCAAGAAGTGAGGTTCTTACCCACGAAAGCTTATGCTCCCTATACTTCTGTTAGTCTCAAAGGTGCCACAGGACCCTCTGTTGATATTAACTTTTGGCTTTTTTCATTCGTTGTGTGTACCCACAATGTTTGCCAAGGCTGTGCTTAGAGGAACAGCTCAGTTGGGCTTTGTCATGTACATTTCCTTGGTCAGAGTATATTCAAAATTCTTTGCATTCTCTAGGCTTCGCAGAATTCAAAATGATTAGATTTGTTTAAGTATGTGAAATCCCTAATCAAATTGAGATTAGAGGATATTAATAAGCAACTAAACAAGGCTCTTGTTTCCATTACAACTATGTCACCTTGATTCCCCCTTATTAAAAAGACTCATGGATATCTAGAGAGTTTGTCTAATAACAAGTTAAGGAGGGCCTTAACAGCTCTCAGTTTTCAGTCTATGCAGACAGCTTAAATCAGAAGGCTGATATACTGGCACTGAGAAACGTAACCACCTCTGTCCATGCAGCTCTGGGCAGGCAGAAGGCCTACCCTATTATTTATTATACTGTAATTTGTATTGCCACTTGAGGTCAGAATGGCTTTCCATGCTTTTTTTGTCCTGGGTGCCTTTTTCTACAACCTCTCAGATAACAGAATATTTATTAGGGACAATCAATGTATCTGTGATCCGAGTGGTTGCCCTATTTGCATGGCCAGCAGCTAAAATCAGGAAAAGACAAATGGCATGGTGATTATATATGTTTTAATTGATTTATGTTCTTTTAAATTTTTATTTATATGTATTGTAATATTTTAAAATCCTGGATTTACTTTTAAGTTTTATTGTAATATGTTTTGGTTTTGGTGCATTGGCTTACGGCTAAGTTGCTATTAATAAATTTGACTTGACAGCAGACAACAAGTAATTATAATGGGCAGACAAGGGGAGTACAATTAAACAATGAGAGAGTTGTGAAATAAGCAATGGTCACAGCACCCCAGCTATCCATCCAGTAAGTGTTTTGAAGCCATCACTACTTAGCTGGGTTAATCAGGAAGAGCTTGTTACAATCTAGTGAAAGGGGCACAGGTTGAAACCACCCAGATAGGACAAAAAACAGAGCTTCATACTCCAGAACAGGCCAGTTCACTACCTGCTCACCTCTTCATTCTGTCTCCTCGCTCTATGGGATTGAAGTTCAGTCATCTGCTCTCAGAGAATGAGGGCTTGTCTACACTGGCAATTTACAGTGCTGCAACTTTCTCGCTCAGGGGTGTGAAAAAACACCCCTGAGCGCAGCAAGTTTCAGCGCTGTAAAGCGCCAGTGTAGACAGTGTACCAGCACTGGGAGTTGTGCTCCCAGTGCTGTGAGCCACACCCCTCATGGAGGTGGGTTTTTTAGAGCGCTGAGAGAGCTCTCTCCCAGCGCTCTGCCGGGACCACACAAGCCATGTTAAAGCACTGCCGCGGCAGCGCTTTAGCATTGCCAGTGTAGACTAGCCCTGAGTCTTCCAGGTTGCTGCTTTGGAATAAGGGTTGACTTTTTTCAAAGAAGTACAGAGGGTTTAGCTACATGTATTCTATTAAAATTCATGGGTAAATCCCCTGTACTGCCTTTGAATTTGCAACCAAATTCTCTAATCCATGTTTGTTCCTCTTCCTTTACATGAATTTTTGTTGCTCGTAAATCTTATCTATCTTCCTCATCAGAATTCTCCTCTCCCATGATTTGTGTTATCTTGCTGCCTGCTGCGTCCCAGTGGTCTCTGCTTCCTGACTAGTGGATACAACATAAATTAAGAATTGGACTTTGTCCCTTTGTAAACTGATCTTCCCATAACAGACATGTTCGGCAATTTATGTCCTTACGCGTCTGTGTGTAATTGTGTTACTGGGTCAATAGTATGTTCTCCACTTTGGAAGTTATCTCCTGGGGCCACATATCCAGTGCCAGCCTAGCTATGATATGCAAACGGTGCCAGTGAAAACATTTGTCCTGCTTCTGCGACTGTATATATAATTATGCAGCTGTAGTTATTCCAATACAACTCCCCATGTGGAACCATGTGTTCTGGGATAATAAGTGTTAAATGGAAGGGAAGATGGATGATGGAGAAGTAGAGAGGAAGACAATGACACAACAAAGTACGAGGTAGGAGGCTGGGGTAGGTAAAGGGATACCATTCTTCGGGTACACATCAGCAAATGTGGTCTAAAAGGCTATAATCAAATGAGTTAATTAATCCAAAAGACATTACATAGATGATAAATGTACTAGCAAGTTATATGGTGAATTAGCAAGGCAATCAGGAAACAATGAAATCAGCTAAATAAGAACAGAACAGATAGGCAATAATCAATGCCTCGGCAGTTAATTAGGAGCAAAACAGCTGGGCAAGACAAGTAAGTGTGGTAGCAATTAAATGACAGTTGGTTGAGTGGAAAGAATCAATCAATTGATTAAGCAGAACAGATAGGCACTAAAGGCAATAAGTGGTGAGATCAGTTAGCTCCGTTGATTAAATGTGGAACCTAGAACTGATAGTCAACAAATTAACGTCATGCAGAGCAAACAATAGCAGGGTGTGAATGGGGTTGCAGGAAGTTAATCAGATTGGTTGCAGAAGTAGGGGGCAGTGACAACTGCAGAAGAAGTTTGGTGCCTATGTCTTTGCATCCAGTTGTTCTTGGTACCTGCCCTGCTTAAAAATGGGGGCAGGAAAGATGGCAACAACCCTACAGTTCTGATCTTGAAAAGGTCCTCTCACATTTGCTACATCTCTGTGCGTTCATGCTGCTGGATGAGTCTAGAGAGAGGCCTGTGAGTGCTGGATTCATACTCTTTCATTCTCTCCCCTTCCTTTCTGAACAACTCTGCTTCCCCTCTCTGAGCCCGGGTCTACACTCCAAAATTACTTTGGTATAACTACATGTCTCAGGGGTGTGAATAATCCACACCCCTGACCAACGTAGTTATATCGACCTATGCGCCGGTGTAGACAGCGCTATGTTGGTGGGAGAGCTTTTCCCTCTGACATAGTCACTGCCTTTCAGGGAGGTGGAGTTATTAAGCCAATGGGAGAACTCTCTTCCGTCGGCTTAGACCCTTAGACACTTCATGACCCTGCGTCAAGGACCATGAGTCTTGCACCTCCTACCTACGCCTACCGACACTTTGAATCTTTCCTGAAATGCTATTCTCGGCCCACCTTCTCTTCTGCCCAGGATGGTGCTAAAAAGGATCCATTTTGTTTTGTAAAATATCTGGCAAGAATCCCCTCTCCCTCGGTTCTGCTGTGTCCCTCCTCCCCTTCCTGCCTTCACCGCACTCTGACACCACGGTCACTGCTACTCTCTGCCACTCTTCCTCGCCCTCTCCCTGCAATCCCGTCCTCTCCAAATGCTTTTAGCTCCCACAACCCTGGGAGTTAAAAACTTAAATCCTGTCATTTGCACCTGCAAAGGATTGTGTGCACCAAACTGCACTTTCAAACTTGACAGCCACATTTTTAAAAGTGACTAAAATGTACTAAATGGTATAGGCTGAGGAAGCTATGCAGTACACATGGCAGGACTCTGGGCCTCAAACCTAATTTTCTCTCTCTCTTTTTAAATTAAGAACATACACCAGCAAACTCTTTTTCAGTTATAGAATAATAAGCATCTGGAATGGCCAGGCAGACATGGTTGTGATGTACTGGTAATGGGGACAGCCAGAATAGCGATGGGATGCTAGCAATGGCTGGGGGGGAAAATAGCATATTTAAAAAGATGAATCAACTCGTTCTGAAATAGCTCCCGTTTGGCTTGGATTTCTGAGGGGCTGTCTGGCATAGTCAGGGTTTTCTGATTGCCCTCTTCCTAACCAGATGTTAACAAGCAGCGTCTGTTTGAATTGTGCTTATGAATAAAAGGACAAGCCCCTCATTCAGCTCTGTTTCTCCTGTAAACAGAGCTCCAAAGTGGACTTCCCCAAGTTCAACTCTCACTTGCCCTGTGGCAGTTGTTGGATCACTAAAAGGATAAAGCTGCCCCTGGCTGATTTTTGTCACTGTAACTTAGCACCAGTGGCTGTTTGGGGAAATTGACACTTGGAACATTATTCTGAGTGTAACTCTGTGGGTTTGTATTTAGCGTGACTGTGAAGTGTGGATCGTTAAAACTTGGCCCATGTATGCTTTTTTTTTTTTTTTTTTAAGTGAAATGTGATCTGAGCAGCCTGTTACCCTATCCATATGTTTTTCCTTTTTGGCACTGTGTCTATAATTGCAACAGATTTGGAGAAATACATGTAGAATTAGATGTCTCAGTTACCACTACTACTCTTCTCCCGACTAATTTGAGTGACTGTAATTATAGTGGCTGAAGTTCACATGCACTCCAAGTCGCTGTGTGTTGCCCATATCCTTTCCTTTCTGAGTAAAGTCAGGTAGAAAGGGAGATTTGATATGCATAGGTATGCAACCACTGCTCCTTTGACACTCCACTACATCCTGACCTGCTGGAGGCAGGAGTAGCAGCAGAATTAAAAGCCCAGGGCATGGTTGCTAGCTCACACCAGGAAATACTTTTCTATAGCATGTATAATCCAAGGATAATGGAGCACTTTCTGAACTTCAACCAATCCTACCACCTTGTCCTTAGTAGTCGATGGGTATAGCCATGCTTAGTAATACTTTACTGCCTGACCTTCCACAGATTGATACATATTCTGCTGTGTTAGAAATCATCTTTCCTTTTCTCATTCAAGCTTGTAACTGTCGAAGAGCAGAAGTTCCTTACAGATACGTTGTACAATACTGGAATCTTAATTGTCTGGGATCCAGCACCTTATCATGCCGAAATTAATGAGGTAAGTGAAGAACAGTGTAGTAAATGAGATTTTCAGGGTAGTTGTGACCTCATTTCTTGCCATACATGCTTGCATGTTGAGGGTCATTCCTTTTAAAATTGTTGTTTATTCCTCTGGCGTGCTGGATGTAGCAATGTATGTGTTCGCAAGTGCCTTTTTCCATCCCTGTATGCGATCAGCTCCTGTGATTTTTGTCACAGCAGTCAGGGAAACTGTGAATTTGAGTAAAGTTCATGAAATGCCATCATGTATGCTAGGTTGCAACGCCCAGAGTGGGGAGCCGGGCCCAGCCCCACAGGTCAGGAGCAGCAGGTGCATGGAGAGTGCAGAGTGGGCTCGCTGTCCATTTCTCTCCTCTCCGCCCCTGCCCCCGAGATCCCTGGCTTGCCCCTTTTCCATGACAAAACATTTCCATGACAAAACCATAGCCCTACTGATAGGAAATGTGTGTCTTTTCCAGACAAGGGTGAAGGGCCCTGAGTTGTCTATCTTTTATTGCCACAGTAAGTTTCCCCATTGGCTGATCTCACATCAGAGTGACCACTACTGGTATATAACATTCTCAAACTTGCCTTAGAGTGATTGTCTCCATTGTCTCAAGGATCCAAAAGTTAGGCTGGACAGTCTGACCACAGTGGCCATTTTGGTTTTGAAAGCACCAGTCTGTCATAAGGTATATTTTAATGGCTTATAATTGATAAGAAAGCTCTATTAAAAGGGCAGCAAATTCCTTTACTCATGTCAGCTGGATTTCTGTAGGTATTGCATTCATAAACTGGAGTTACTTGTGTAGTGACTGCAGAGTAGCTGCACAATAGCTCCATTAGTAGTCATCACAACTCCCTCTCTTAGTAATTGGGTAGATCACCCATGTTGGCAGTATATTCAGACTTTATTGCAAAACGGCATCCTGTGATGCCCCCCTCATCCAATCAGAAGTCAGAAGCTTTGAACCATCTCCTCCCTTTAAATTATAAGAAAATAAAATCAAGGGATGTTCTTCTCTTTTTGCGACGTGTTTATTGATTGTGCAGTCTGTATAGTCGGAAATAGGAAAGTTTGTTCCATTTTTAAAATAATTAAAAATACCTCTCAGCATTTGCACTGAAGAAGAATTTCAATATCTGAGATACTGCAGCATCCTTTGATTTGGCCTCATTGTTCTCCCTTTTCTGTCATGTCTCCTCATTCCTGATTTGCACTGGGGTATCTCAGTTGAAGTCAATAGTTATATCATTGTACAAAACAATAACTTACCTTGACAGTTTCAATAATAAGTAAATATTCTGTCAATATGCTAATTTATGGAGCTTCAGCATAATATTCCAGGGCCAGAAAGCACAGGACCATCACTCAAGTGGCGCAATAACAAAGCTAAGGATTATACTACATCAAACAATCTCAGCAAGCAAAGCATGCAAAATGATAAACAGCAACAGCTTCAAAAGCCAGTCCAGTGTAATTAGCAGACAGAAAACATGTAACTCTGAAACAACTGTCCCCCCTCTACAGGAGCAGGACCTAAAACCCTGGACTGTGTGATTGAAAATTATCTTCCAGAAAGAGAGGCACATTGCACTAGTGCTAGCCTAGGAGGCCCGGGTTCAATTCCTTGCTCTGCCACAGACTTTCTGTGTCACCTGGAACACGTCACTTAGGTCCTGATCGTAAATCCCATTTTTAGGCTCCACTACCATTCACAAAACTCCTGCCAAATCCTGTAGGCACCTAAACTTAACACCTACGTTTTCAGCCTAAAAGTTCCCTCCAGAATAAGTTTCTGCCTCCAAGCATGCCCACTGCCACCTGACTCTAGGTGTCTGGACACCTATCCCCAACCTAAGCCCCAGAGCAATCCACAAACCAGGAGGAGATAGGTGAGCAAATGCCTATCTCATGTGCGGAGCCCGATGCGGGAAGTGTGCTCAGAGGTAACCTACCAGATTGGTTCCCATTCACAATCGTTTTTAACTTTTAGAAAGCCAAGGATTATAAAAACACTCCCATGCATTCTTCACTTTGAATGGGTACAGATACGACTAAACAAGGAGTCCCTGCAGTGTTCCTAAACCCCACTTCGCAGCATTGTGCTACTGCATCAGAATCTAAGTGAAGTCATTTGGAAATTAGCTGTAAACAAGTGTTTATAAACTAGTTTATTGTTAAAGCTGAGAGCAATGTAGAAGGGAAACAAACCTCAAACAGTGAAAAGTTAATTCAATTTTTAAAATTCGTGCAGCTTCAGTAACCCATGGTGCTATTTGTAACACACAAAGAGTTATATCTCTAAAGGGTTGCTGATCCTTTGGAGTGCACGTCTGCTACAGTCCTCAGCTCTGCTGTCTCTCCTTAGTCTTTAGGTCACACCCTGACTTCCTAGATCAGAGACATTGCTTATAAAATGTCATCTGAATGTCCAAGCCTTTGTCTAGTCCTACGCCCCCAACGAAGCAAGGGTATATATTTAGCATGCTTAAGAGCCTCTACTGAGCTAGGCTGGTACTTATTGCCTAGTAAAACCTCTCTTCTAGATGGTCCGAGAGTTTAATGAAACATAAGCCCTCCTTCAGTATTTTTACTGAAGTAAGGTAGTGAGAGGAAAGCTTATAAATTTGAAAGCTCACAAATACACACAATTACAGTTCACTGCACATACTGTACATTATCATCTTCTAATGCAATGTTGTGACAAAGATGCTTGTGTACCAGCCTTGGAATATGACCTTTTGTTCTCTGAGATTAATATAACAATTAAGAATGGTATAAAAATGACTCACTGCACGTAAGATTGTCCTTTCAATGTCTTTCTAGGCCACATGAACAGTCCTGCCAGCTGGGTATTCTAGAAGGAGAGACGATACAGGGTAGTATCTCCTAAAATGTTTGGGAATGGAAAGGAGAAGAAATTGGAACGTTTACAGATTTTATTGCTAGTGGGCTGCTCGCTTTCATGTAGCAAAATATTCTCCCTGAATCTCCCAATTTAAATATCAGGAAGACATTAAAGACATGTTCCAAAAGTCCATTGAAGTCCTTGGAGTTCTTTCCACTGACTTCAGTGAATTTTGGATCAGACCCTAAATGCAAATAAAAATGGAGTAGTTGGTAAGACACTTTTGTGAACTGGATCAGTGACACACCCACCACTGACATGTGGAAGATCTTAATGCATTAGAGATGAGAAACTTAGAAGGATTAGAACTCCATAACAGTCTACTAAAAGATGAGATGATTCCCCGTGAGTCTTCAGTATGAGGGTGTCTTATAATAGAGACTGCAAGAAGGCGGGGGGGGGGGGGAGGATATGCCATTTCTCTGCATTGCTTTATGAATTGCAATACAGCCTGGTGTGATATGCATGTCAAATTACATTCCACTTGTAAAGAAATTTCTTTCACAGCATCTTTAAAGTTACATAGTGGATATTGTTGTAGACTTTTGTGTTCTGTTGTGGGTGCCATGGGCTCACCTGTCTCTTGCATGATAGCTCTTCCATTAGCACCTTGCCCTCTGAATTAGAATGCAGGTGGAATTTCGAAGGGCAACCTGTTACATGAAAGATAAGTTACTGCATCCCACAGCAGTGCAGAACAATAATAGATTCCTTAGGTGTTTTGTGAGAGATCTTGTCCTTGAGGGGAGGGGAAAGGATCTGACTTGTTAATTCTATTTTAGTGGTACAGAAAACCAGATTACAGTTTCTTTGCAAACTACAAGGTGTATCGTACTAGACATCCGGAACAGCCCTTTTATATCCTGAACCCAAAAATGCAGTGGCAGCTCTGGGATATTCTGCAGGAGAACTCGCTGGAGGAAATTCAGCCCAATCCACCTTCTTCTGGAATGCTTGGTAATGTACCTGCGCAGTAAATATTTGGCTTTATTAGTTTTGAATGGGGCTCTTAGGTTTATTGAAGAGCTGATAATGGTCGTGCTTTCTGTTTATCAGATTCAAAGCAGCCCTTTGGAGATTCCTAACAATGTTCAACTTCTGTAAAATGCAACGTTTCCCATCTCAAAACAGCAGCTTAATTATGTTAGAAAACAGCATTTCTCAGCAGCAGCTCTCAAACTGTTCTGTGTAGCACTGACTCCAGAAATAGCTATACTCAGATTAAACACAGATTCAGGCTGGAACGTTAGGTGCAACAATGTCAATTGTCAATAAAAGGTGCAATCACCTTTTACTGGTGACCAGCATTTCTGGCCAATAGGAAAAGAGCAACTCATATCTGGTCTGATATGAAGCACAGTGATGTCTTTCAGGGCTTTCACTGCTATTCCTTTTCATTGCTTTTTTATTTTAACAAGCGAATAAATTTATCAGCTCACTATTGCAGTCAACAAATAGTTTTATTTTCAAATTGATGAGCCATTACCTATTATGGGATAAGCACAGTTCAAAAAGAAAGATTTGATAAGGGGAAAAAGTTGTCAGAACTCAGTAATAACTGTAAAAATGGTAAATAATTCCCCCTCAGCCAGCCTTATCCCTCATTTTAAAGCCCTTTTGTTTCATCACCTTGTGCTGATCTCAAAACATTAGTGAAGAGGCCCATTTCCCTCCCAGACAGAAATTCTATTGTGGCCAGGTTTTCTCCTTTTCACAACCTTATTTAATCAGCAACAAAATGAAAAGGAACCGACCGCTAAGGAGCGATTTATAAGAAAACCACTTACAGTGGAGTTGTTGTCTTGTTTGCTTTGTAGGTGGCAAAATTGTTCTGCTTTGGTTACCATCCTACTGCTTGCAAGAGGGCACTCACACTGTAAGATATTCCCTCCCCCCTCCCCCCCATGGGTGTGCAGAACTAGACCTTAACAAAGTTAGGTTAGCTGATTATATTTCTGCCAGTCAGACTTCTTGCTTCTTTCTACAAACTCATATTTCTGCCTTCCAAGCTATTAAATCATTGCTGGCTCATGTTCAGCACTAATGTGTAATGGGGGAAACAGCTGATTTTAGAAGGAAAACACAATGCAAATGATTATTGATTAGAGCAAAGGATTGAGAAGGCAGGACTCCTACACAGCTCAGTTTCTTGACCTTTTTATGCCTCAGTTTCCCCATTTGTAAAATGAGTATAATCTGTCTCCCAGTGATGAGAGAGAGAGAGAGAGAGAGAGAGAGACAAGCTTTTGAGCTTACACAGAGCTCTTCTTCAGGTGATCTCTACAGAAGAGCTCTGTGTAGCTTGAAAACTTGTCTCTTTCACCAATTGAAGTTGGTTCAATAAAAGATATTCTTCCCATGTGTGGAATAGACCTAGGGACCAGCATACCCGCTATGGTCCTGCTGGCCAAGCCCTATGCGCAGTGACCCTCATAACCATTCTGGCTGTGATCTGACCTGCTAAGGCCACGCCAGGGGTATGCATGCATGCCAAGTGCCTGAGTCTGGAGTTTCTTCAAAGCAGTGGCCGTTGACCCACACATACACATTAACACTCCTCATGCGCCTGACTGAGGGTATAAGAGGCAGTGCGGCTCGACACCTCTCCAGTTTCTTCTTACTGCCCCATGGTCTGAGTCAGAATCATGTCCTCTGCTATTGCACAGCCTGTAAAATGTATTTGTAAATAGTTTATATCTTAGCTTAGGAACTCTAGTTAGTATAGAATAGAATACTCCCCCTCTCCAGTCAGGGGAAATCGTCCTCGGTCCCTGGACTGTGCCCAGGGTCCCGGGTTTCAAGAAGCAAGGAAAAAGAAGGAGCTGCTGGTTCCGACAGTATTCATCATAGGTACCATCTCATCTATCCAAAGACTGGCTGCATCAGATGAACTGGGCCCTTCAGGAGTTTCTATGGGAACTGCTCAGACCCCGGGCTGTGTGGAGACCTTTGTAACGTCAGAGGATGTCTTCTTCCCCTACCTGCAGTCTCCACTCCTTTTGGGCCCTGCCGTCCTGAGAGACATCCTTATCCTGGAGGGGGAATTGTTACCATTGTCTCAAGAGAAGTCCCATCTCTATCCATCGCACAGGAGTGCCCCGGTACTTATGGAATCAGAGGAGTTGGAGGAGATAGCTACACCAGTATCTCTGCGAAGGCACAGGAGCCCTAACAGACATCCGAGACACTATTATCTGTCAGGTTATGACCCTCCAAGGGACACCTAATATTGATTCCTCAGGGGGCCACCGTGAGCAATGGATCTTTCCTTATTGCAGGTGCCCGGACCCCTCTCAGGAGTCATACCACTCCTCCTCCTCTCATCAGCTGGTTCCATATGTGTATGAGGAGGAAGAACCAGAACCGGTTCCGATGGGGGCCTCATCATCCTCTCCAGACACCACTGTCACTCCTTCATTGCCCTCTCCACTGGATGACCACCAGCAATACCAGGAGTTGTTGCACAGGGTTGCTAGTGATCTACAAATTCCTCTAGAGGAAGTCCAGGACCCTCAGAATCAACTACTGGACATTTTACAACCACAGAGACTGACCAGGGTGGCCCTTCCAAACTAATCAGGCCATATTAGAACCAGCCAGAGAGGTTTGGCACACACAGCATCTTGTGCCCCTATGCCAAAAAGAAAGATGCTATTTTGTGCTGGCCAAGGATGCTGACTTCTTGTTTTCTCATCCTGCCCGTAACTTGTTGGTGGTACAGGTGACTACAGAGAGAGCTCAGCCACGCTACCAAAAATCTACTTTGGCCCATAAAGGCTCAAAGAGAGTGGACCTCCTGGGTAGGAAGGTTTTCTCCTCTGCAGTCCTCCAGTTTGTATAGTTGATTACCAAGCTTTACTAGCAAAATACAATTTTAACACCTACACCAGGCCTACAGAATGTAAAGACAAACTCCCCATGGAAGAATGAGCCCAGTTCCAGTCCTTTCTGGATGAGGGGAGGCTGGTAGCAAAGGTGGCTCTCTAGGCTGCGGTAGATGCCACAGATACAGCATCCAGATCTTTAGCCCCAGGACTGGTCATGCAAAAGGGACTCCTAGCTCCAGTCATCAGGCATCCCTAGAGAGGTCCAAAATGCTATCCAAGATCTTTGACAAGTCCAGCCTTTTTAATGAAAAGACAGATGAGTCTCTATGCTCTCTAAAGGACTTGAGAACCACCCTGTGATTTACACACCAGCCCGCAGGAGGAAATGCCAGGAATAGCCCTTTTGACCACGACTATCCCCTTTGCATACCCCATACTACCAGAATCCACCTGAATCTTTCTCATAAGTGACAAAGGATTCAGAGGTCTCATTTCTCAGCTCCCTTCACTGCTGCACCCTCCATGTATTCCCAGCCACAGGCCAAAGGCCATTTTTGATGTGCATGTCAACACTTGCACATAGGATGCTCCATAGAGTTTTCTTTCCCTCCTCACAAAACACGTGCCTCACCCCCCTTCAGGGACCCCTCTCATCAATCCTTGTTACACCAGGGGGTGATAGAGAGGTCCCAAGGGAGTACCAAGGGAGAGGGTTCTACTCCCCATATTTTCTAACCCTCAGAAAAGACATGGACCTCATCATGGACCTTTGGCAATGCAACATCTTTATCCAAAAGCTGAAATTCAGAATGATTACACTGGCATCTATAAACCTCTTTTCAGGAGTGAGTGTGGTTTGCGGCTCTCAGCATAAAGGAAGCATGGTTCTACATGGACATTCACCTATCACACAGGAGATTTCTGCATTTCATGGTTGACCAAGAGCGCTACCAGTTCTGTGTCCTTCTCTGTGGGCTCGCAGCAGCTCCAAATGTGTTCACAAAAGTTTTCACCATGGTAGCAGCCCACATGAGACATCAGGGATATATGGTATTTCCATACCTGGATGATTGGTTTTTGGTAGGCCAATATTGGCAAGAAGTTATATCAGCAACAGAGTTTCCTTTGTGCCTTCTTGCCACTGTAGGTGTTTGCATAAACGAAGATAAGTTCTTTTTGTCACCCACCAGGACAGTACATTTTATAGGAGCACGGCTGGATTCAATCTCTATGACAGCTTTCCTGCCTGCAGACAGATTCTACATGATGAGTAACCTAATATCTTGCATCACCTGCAAACCTCAAACTATGATTATTCCTTTGCTTATTCCTCCTTTCCCAAGGAGATACAGAACACTGTTGAAGATATCCCCATCGATGGGGACAAGCTCTTCGCCTCTACGACCAACGAGGTCCTCCATTTCATGAAGGACTCATCCGCCACACTCCGATCTCTAGGCATCGAAACACCTGTCACAAAAAAGAGACAATATAGGTATCAGCAATATCAACAACCATGCTACCATACCTTTGTGCAACATCAACCTTTAAGACAATATACGCAGCAACAACAATGCCATAGACCCAGAACCCAACGACGTTGCCCTCTGCAAACAATGGTGACCCACCCTCCTAACTCAAATAACAAATTTGAGGTCTTGCTCGAGGGTATAGAAAGCCTCGCACCCTCTCCAGAGCCAACTCCAACCATCCATTTCTTTGGACACTATCTACATCCGTTCCTTGCCAATTGGGAAGCCATCACTATGGACATATGGATCCTGGAAATTATCAGATCGGGTTATGCCATCCCCTTCCTCTCTTACCTCCCACGCACCCTCCCGCCCCGTCCCTCTTCGGGGAGACCTCTCACAAACATTTACTCTGTCAGGAGGTACAACACCTCAAGCAACTAGGAGCGATAGAGGAAGTACTGCCTCAACACAGAGGGAAAGGGTTTTACTCCAACTACTTCTTGACAGAAAAGAAAAATGGCAGATGGCACCCTATCCTCGAACTTTGACCTTTAAACAATTTCATCAAGAAACAGAAATTCTGGATGGTTACTCTTCCAATGATAATTCCGACGCTGGAGCAGGGAGATTAGTTTTCAACCCTCGACCTCCAAGT